GCAAATTCCGACCAAAAAACTATTAGCGGTAAACATAAAATGAGTTGTTTTTAACTGATTTTTTCTTTTTCTTTTTTCTTTTGATCGGATGCTCCCAACATTTCTGTTAAAATGGAAAAATGAATATGTGATGGGAGTAAAATAATATTTGAGATATGATGGAGAATAATAATGGATACAATATCATTGTCTTTAATTATTATCAATCATATCAAATCTCTATATTTTGTTTCTATTTTAACAATTTTAACTTTTTTTTTATTATTACTATTTTTTGTTAACCTGTAGGTTCATCTAAACCTTCCGTCCAACTTACATTCTTTGGGTTCGGGAACAACCTTTAAAGCGCACGCTGCGCACCTAACCACGCCTCACTCTCCTAACCCGTGGCTCGAGCATGGGACGTGGGACATGGGCCACCAACCACCACCTCTCCGGAGCTCTTCCATCTCGGCGACGGCTTCTTGGAAAGGGACGAAATTAAATACGCCTCGATCTCCCTCCCCACTGCGAGATCGAACGTTTGACGTGAAGGTCATTTGGATCAACTCGTTAGTCCCTCGACCACAAACAATGTGGGTAACTTTTTTATTATTGTCATACGTGCAAGTTTTTCCGTGCGACAAACCATGCATATATATATATATATATATATATATATTATAACTATAAACCATATAAAAATAAATATAATGTATCACACGGTATTTTGAGCAGGTAACATAATAAACACAATCATGGACAAAAAAACAACGTGAGTGAGTCAATGCGTTAATAAAATGTACTTCCACCGTATTTGTTTGTTAATGGGCCGATATCTCATACTAGGGAGATTTGAACCCACGCCTAAGTGGGATGGGTGTATTACCGCCACTATAACTCGATATATCAAACACATGTCAACATATATCATCTACGTAATTTTAAATGTTCAAACGTTGTTAGAAAACCATTTCAATTACCGAAAATGCCAAATTTCTTTCGATTTTATGATGGTCTTTGGCTAAACATTAAAGAGAAAAGAGGTTGCCTTTCGTACGCACGCACACCTTTTTGCTTTCTCCGTTCAATTGTATTTACCTTCTGATAATCGTATTCAATATGCATATCAATAAAGTAATATCTTGCATAGTGTAATTTGTCACAACGTCAATATTGGCATTACAAAAACGACCCGTACAACTATTAACCATCATAAATTTTATTCAAGACATAATATTATGTTAAATATATATATATATAAGATGGTAGTATTAGTCATCTAGAATACTATCATTATCAAAATTTACCGGAGACTCGTCCAGGTGTCTTTTTCAAAATTCAAAAGCTAAATAAATTAATAAAAGTTCAATTGTAGTTAAAGGGGAAAAATGGAAAGTAGAAGCAAAATATTCGTTCTGTGACGGGAGAGGGTGCACCGTGGACGGCCTACACACTTTTTTAGAAGACGGTGGCCGACACGATTCTCCCTCACGAATTAATATCTCATGCACCTTTACTGTTCTTCACTTGGTTTTATTCTGTTGTTCCTCGGTTTACGGGAGCACCGTGCTCCTAATCAATCTCATCCACCGATTATTCAGTAATATATATGGATGTTGAGTATATATTGATGGTCGTTTCTCTTTTATCTATGCTAAGCATGATATTTATGTTGCTAATATTGTTAGCTGCTTGTACAAAATATATACACAAAGTGACTATTCTTTATGGTTTGGACAAACTCGGTCTCCCAGTGGCTAACGCTAGACAACAATTTGTCGTCAATTCACAGATAAATCATTATAAGTTTGAACCATCAAACAATACTCCAAATAATAATGGAGTGCGTTATTTAGAGTTTTTCTCGACTCCAACAGGTAATAATGAAAATGGCGAGTGACCCCTAACCTTTATCGGATTTCTCGTGCTTTTTATTTTATCTCAAGAGAAAGTTCGTTGATCCATCCATTTTCGGGGCTTTTTATTTTATCTCAACAGGTAATAATGATGATAGTTTTACAAGCTAGGGAATATTGTGTACTGACATTATTTTCATGAATTAATCCCAATCGTTGGTTTATTAAGTAAACAAAACAGACCAAGTATATGAACAACCATACAAGAGCACAGATTTATAAGACAAGATCATGAACTAGTATAACACACCTGCTGAGGCGATGGGGCTGGGTTGTCTCTTGGATGTATTTGTTGCGTCTTCTCCCCCGAAGGTTTAAACATATGAAGGCAAAAATATCTTATTGGACATGGACACAAAAAAACGCAGCTATTTATATTAGATATTTTGATCCATATATATGTAGTTTATGAGTGTAGTAGAGCAACGGAAAACGGGGATATATATGTGTTGTCTGGGGTTCTTCAGCCTCGTCGCCCCTTACAAGTTACTAGCATATATATATATATATATATATATATATGACGTGTGTATAATTAATGACTCGTTGGGTCGTCCAAAACACTTGTTATATTAAAAAAAAAAAACCTTTCTTTTTCAACCCCCCCAAAAAAAGTCGGTGGACATGCAATTTGTGTAAAAATAGCTGAAAAATTAAAGGCTTTATTGAGAATATATATGAGAATTGGTATGTCTTTTTATATACAAAGATTATCACGATCGAGGAATAAATTTGATAAAATGAAACGTTGAAATTATGGGGGAACAATAGTGTTATTGGGACGCACCTATCATGGCTCTCGATGGTTTCATTCCGATCTAATGATTAATCTGTTGGAGTTTATTCTTAATTGTATACGCGTCACTCATATATGTGCAAAACCTTATGTATAACGAAATGCATATTTTATTATTGTTTTGTACATAAACGTGTATATGTTTTTGTAACGATAAAAAAAAAAGAGACGATCAACCTGAGACAGCAGACTAGACGAGACATGGTTGATTATTACTATTTTCAACCTCCACGTGGTATCTCGTTTTTATTTATTTGATTTTTGTTTTGAAAGAAATTTTGACGCACGTCCATAAAACCCAGAATCTGGGGACGTAGACATCATCATCGGGCAAAGTGTATATGTTGGTTGTAAGTTAATGTGAGTGAAGTGGTCCTGTGTGGTGGTCCATGAAACATAGACATTGTCTTTGTTCGTTATGTTATAAAATTTCCCCCAAAGTCAGGTTCGATCTCAAAGTTGTCTCTCTGCTCCTCCTGAGCCCGTGTGGTCCTTCCTTTCATGTTTCTTCGTGCTTTTAGGGAAAACCAAAAGGAAGAGTTATGCATCAATCTAATGCCCTTCTTAACAGTTTGTATAAATCATCACACGAAAACGACTATCGCGGTTTAGCTTATTTGACGCAATATTCCATTCACATGAATATCTCGGAATACATACGAAGCCTGATTGTGTAAAAAAAAAAAAAAAACAAATAGAAATGATGATATTCTTGTAAAACATTTTAACCTAAGAAACCCAAGGCCATTTATAAAAAAATTGGTCGGAACGCCCTTTCAGCTTTTCAAATAGTAAAATATCGATTTATTTACCTTCATTTCAAAATCTTGAATTCAATTTCACTAATAGAGTGGAGGAACACAATTAATTGCGTAATTAAAGACTAAATCTGGATTCAGAGTAGTTAAGTGGGTCGAAGACATGATAAAACTCTTGATTAAAAAGAAATATGGATTTATTTTTATTTTATGGGTACATATAGATCACACAAAGAATAATTAGAGATGCCGATATTATTGGAACAAGCGAAAAGGGGTGCTGGAATGGGCTCATAATAATATAAGATGGAGGAGTCAAAGTCAAAGATGGGCACTAAACACCAATTAGACGGATCAGAATGGAAAGAGGACCGTAGTTACTCGGCTAATTAATTACTTTCCGTTATCACAATATTGATTAAGATAATTAACCCGAGATAACGTGGCGACGTATAATTTATTTTCGGGTTTGACTCTTGGCACATTGGGATGCCCAACTTTAATGGCGGTGGCTAAAATATTGGTTGACTCTTTTTATATCACGACTAGAGTTTGGCCACGTTTCCAAGGTGCAAAATTAGACAGCGACAATAAAATTAATATAAGAAGGATCACTAGTTAAGGGAGATGTTAATATGATTTTATCCATCATTTATTATTGAGAGAGCCCACAAGGAAGGACGTTCCAAGTGGGGAGGATCGTCGTTTTCCGGTCAAAAGGCGAAGAAGAAAAGATTCTCTTCGGCCATTCCTAGTCTTGGAAAATGTTTCGATTACATTCCTCAAGATATGATTGTTTAATCATCTGCAAAGGAAGCTGATTTCTTTCTCGTTGGATCAAAAATCGGTGGTCCGTGGGCAACCCTTTTCTCTCATTTCCATTAATTATCTTGCAGAAGAATTTTAGTACCCGCTTGCTTGTTTTCAACCTCTCTCCATCTTCCAAAATTGACCACAGATGGTATAAAATCTCTGCGTTGGATCTCTCTTCAGACAAAGCATCGATTCATTATAAAAGCTTTTTTTTTTTTTTAATTGGTTCAAAACCGTGGGTCATTTGCCTACATTGCCATTCATATGAATCCTCTGGAGAGTATTAGTTTTGGCAATGGTTTTTGAGAAAAAAATTATATTGTTATTATTATATTATATTGTTGAACTAATCGAGTGAGTGACAAAAGACAAGGTGCACTCAAACTAATCTTGCACAAAGAATTAACAAAAAGTTGGAACTTGGAACGTTGAGGAGGGAGACATCGTATATTAGAGAGGATGCTATGTAGTTTTCATCAATGATTAAGAATGTTCGGTTCTATCTGTGGTCGTTTCATGACGTCAAACTGAAGTGGGAGGGGGTGTTGGATGATCGTTTGTGGGCTAAAACAAAGCCCATTGTATGAATTTGGGCTCCACGTAAAGGCCTTGCACTCGCGCCGCGAAACCCTAACTGCGCCCCTAGGAGCCCATTCCGCTTTCTGTACAAAATCAGCACAGATTAAAACTGAGGTCCGTCTTTCATTCGGGTTTCTACGGAACGGGAATGACTAACATAACTAATTGGTAATTCCTTTGTTCACTCAGTGAGTCCCTACGGTTGCGGAAGATGGCGGAACTTCCATGAATAGACAGCTACCATTTTCAGGGAACAATTACTTTGGATCAGTTTCCACATTATCTGAATCATAGACATGTACAGGAAGCTGCAAGATTTCAATAGGGTTATGGTTAAATTTCCATTGCATGAACAAGATGATCTGTTCTTGCAACATTTAGTTTTCTGGTATACTCGTTTACTCCGGGAAATGAACTGCTAAAATGGCCAATGGAGGGATCAGACATCTTTTTGTTTGGTTACCAAGTGATATGGAAACCTGTCTTGTCTTAAACTCGATTTGGCATTTGTAGCTCGGAGATACATATCATGTCTCAGGCCAAAGTTGTGCCCACTCTTCGCAGACTAGCGTCGTTAGCTCAACAACGGTGTCCTGCTCCAGCCATGGCTGCTGCTCCATTAGAGCTGGGCTCCTATCTTGAGGAAAACCTTAATCAGGTTGTTTATTCGCATAACCGAGAGATCGACCGTTTTATAAAGTCCGGAAACCTGACCTATGCACAAGACCTGTTCGATCGAATGTCCGAACGGGATGTTGTCTCCTACAACCTCGTGATTTCTGGTCATAGCCACAATGGGTGCCCTACACAAGCTATGGAACTTTACGCTGAGATGGTCTCCGGTGGTGTTAGAGAGAGCGCTTCGACGTTTTCTTCCGTTCTGAGTATATGTAGCGATGCTGAGTTCTGGAGAGAAGGAGTTCAAGTCCATTGCAGGGTGATCTCGCTTGGGTTTGGAGGAAATCTGTTCGTGGCTTCGTCGCTTGTTGGTCTTCACATGTCCATGCGGCTTCAAGATGTAGCCTTGAAGTTGTTCGAGGAAATGCCTGTGAGAAATGTTGCAGCCTGCAATCTGTTATTACGTTGGTTTTCAGAGAACAGAGACACAGAGCAGTTGTTTGGAGTCCATCGTAGGATGGAACTGGAAGGTGTTGCCTTAAATGGGCTTACATACTGTTATATGATCCGTGGTTGCTGTAATGATGTGTTATTCGATGAAGGGAAGCAACTGCATTCACGTGTGATTAAATCCGGATGGACCGATTCTAATATCTTTGTGGCTAATGCATTGGTGGACTTCTACTCTTCTTGTGGTAGTTTAATTGAAGCCAAGAAGTCATTCGAAGCTGTTCCTGAAATGGATGTTATATCCTGGAACTCGATTGTTTCGGCCTTTGCAGATCACGGGTCCTTGCTCGATTCTGTTGCTTTGTTCAGAAGGATGCAGTTCTGGGGAATGAGACCGTCGATAAGGTCGTTTGTGGCATTTCTGAATTTCTGCACCAGAAATGGCGATGCCCAGTTTGGCAAGCAAACACATTGTTATATTCTGAAAATGGGGTTAGATACTTCTTCGAGTATTCATGTCCAGTCTGCCCTAATCGACATGTATGGAAAATGCAACGACGTCGAGAGCTCCGTCTCTGTTTACCGGACTTTGCCTGCCCCAACTCTCGAGTGTTGTAACTCTTTGATGACTTCTCTGATGCATTGTGTGATCACCTCAGACGTCATTGAGATGTTCTGTCTGATGATTGATGAAGGAATCGGAATAGATGAAGTAACTCTCTCCACAGTGCTAAAGGCCTTATCACTCTCTGCCCCTCCAAGCTTTCCCAGCTTCACATCGGTACACTGTTGCGCTGTCAAATCAGGATATGCAACTGAGACCGCAGTATCGTGCTCTTTGATCGAGGGTTACTCAAGATGCGGTCAGGTAGAACTATCTCGGAAGGTTTTCGATGATACTGCTTCCCCTAACGTCTTCTGTTTCACATCTATCATCAGCGGTTATGCTCGAAATGGGATGGGACGAGATTGCATTAACACGCTTAGAGAAATGGATCAAAAGGGTGTCGTTCCGGACGAAGTCACACTCTTGTGCGTATTGTCAGGGTGCAGCCATTCGGGGCTGGTGGAGGAAGGACAGTTGGTGTTCGAATCGATGGAATCAAAGTATGGAATTTCTCCAGGAAGGAAACATTATTCTTGCATGGTGGATGTGCTAGGGCGTGCCGGTTTGGTGGAGAAAGCTGAAGAGCTTCTTCTGCAGTCGCCACCCGTAGAATCTGACTGCGTTTCTTGGAGCTCTTTGTTGCAGAGTTGCCGGTTGCATAGAAAAGAAGCAATCGGGAGAAGGGCAGCGACTGTCTTGTTGGATCTTGCACCCAATAATTTCTCAGTTCACATTCAAGTTTCCAACTTTTACTCTGAGATCGGAGAATCTGAGCTCTCCATCCGAATAAGAGAAATTGCCAAGTCACATCAGCTCATGAGGGAGATCGGTTTCAGCTCTGTCGTCGTCAATATTTCAGAACAGTTGTGACGTGTCTTTTTTTTTAATTAACTTCATGTGATGTGGCACTTTTCTGTTGGTTGGACACCATCTGCGAGACTACGACTCATTAGCCATATACACCGCCACCGCGTCTTCCAAGGGTAGTCCTGGTATGTCGCAAAAGGAAACATCTACTTAGTGATGTGGCGGTTTCTGATTGGTCGGACCACAGAATACTTGCTGAGCATCCGCACTCGGTCCAAGGACATTTCGGTAACTCCTTTTATAATGGCATTTCCGTTAATCTTCGGAAAACATGACGGAGAATTCGGTACCCCTTTCGTGCTCCTCCTGTATAAAAACGGCTCCCTTTTCCGTTTCGGCGTCGCACATTTAGCGTTGCCGCAAAGCTTCTCTGCCTTTCAAATTTCGTCTGCTCTCGCTGGTCATTGCGGGGTCTCTCACCTTCTTTCTCCCAGATCTCTCGGGAACTTTCTTCAGAGGTACACTTTGATCAGGATCTATGTTCATGCATTCTGGTTTTAGATCGTTGGCTTGCCTAGATCTTTGTAGTCCGGTGCGAAGGTGCGATTTTGCGCGATGTGTTCGTGTAGTTCTTACTTCTTAGGATGCGTTTCTCATTTGTTCTCAATCTTAGTGCTAAGTTATGGCTCATTTGCTTCCATCGAGGGTTTGTATTACTTAGTTTTGGATACTACGCCAGGATTTCAATGTTGTTCGGTGTTGATTCTGGTGTGATCTGATTTTCGCGCTTTAAAATAACTTGGATCTGTAAAAAAAGTTTCTCAATCTCTTGATTTCATCCTAAACGCTTTTGACATCCTCTCCCTCCGCTGCACCTCCTGTACTCTTCTCTTGTCTTGGGCTTCTCTTTTCCGCACAGATGCTCGTCCACGTACAATGGCTCCACTCTCCAGCACCCCTCGAACACTTTCATGAACATTGTCTTCCCTTGCTTGTACTTTGACTGTTCCATTCCATCCATCACTTTAGGAAGAAGAAAAAACATAGATACTTCCTTTTTTTGGATGGGGAGTTTTCTTACAGAGAAATCTTTTCTGTTCTCGTCAACCAAGAGATGGACGGGGAAGGTTCCGGACCACCAGAGGAAGTTCCAAGCAGCAGCTTGCTCAACCTCCACCACCTGCCTCGACTCCTCATTTATCAAAATCTTCCTTGATATGTTCTCCTGACATATTCATGCATCAGACCCCATTCACATAAACACATATGTTAGAGAGAGGGGTAGGGGTACCTTGATGTTACGGAAGTAGCGTTTGTTGTCGGGATGAGTGAAAATGTCGAAGACCGTATCAGGAGGCAATCCCACAGTCACTTCTATGTTCAGATGGCAGAAGGAACCCTTTTGTGTTTTCACCTTCCAAAAACGCTCTTGCTTCTATTTGGATCTGCCTGATTTCGTTGTATTCATTTATAGTAGCCTTACACAAGATATTTATGGTAACCAGTATTTTGGGACTATCTTAAACAATCGTATAATGTGTGACGCGGATGAGGTAATGATACGCTATTTCATTCTGTATCTCGTTTGATCACCAGGTAAAGCAGGATGGGGCTGACTTTCGCCAAGCTCTTTAGTCGGCTTTTTGCCAAGAAGGAGATGCGAATTCTGATGGTAGGTCTTGATGCAGCTGGTAAGACCACCATTTTGTACAAGCTCAAGCTTGGAGAGATTGTGACCACCATTCCAACTATTGGTAAGAGTCAACCGGGATTTAGTTCCTCGTTCAAAGCTTTACTTCCATCATTGCCTAGGCGCACATGTTGACATTTAATATTCACTAATGTGAACATAAAGATCATTTAACCCGTATAGGCCACGGTGGTTAACAGAATGTTGTTGACAGGGTTTAATGTTGAGACTGTGGAGTACAAGAACATCAGTTTCACCGTGTGGGATGTTGGGGGTCAGGACAAGGTATGATATTCGAGTATACTTTTAGCCTCTTTGCATGTTATAATCTGTAGGTTCTTATCTAGACCTTGTCTTTCTTCCATGCACGTAGAAACTTTGTGGTTTGTACATAATCTGACATGGCTTTGATCATGTGCTTCTCATCAGATCCGTCCGTTGTGGAGGCACTACTTCCAGAATACCCAGGGTCTTATCTTTGTTGTCGACAGCAATGACAGAGACCGTGTTGTCGAGGCTAGGGACGAACTGCACAGAATGCTGAATGAGGTATGTGTGGGGTTTTGGCACCACAAGCAACTGATGTTATATTAGAAGGATTCTTAAGTTTTCAGCATAATGATGCTGGCTTGTGTAGACAAGGTGACCAATGCTAATACCGGGGTATTGCAGGATGAGCTGCGTGATGCTGTGCTGCTTGTCTTTGCTAACAAGCAGGATCTTCCGAATGCCATGAATGCGGCAGAAATCACCGATAAGCTTGGCCTCCATTCGCTTCGTCAGCGTCACTGGTAAATGAAAACCCCCATAATAAGGCGTTTATTAATCGACAATTTGGAGCATGACCTCTGATTGGATGCACATCTATGCAATCTTCAGGTACATCCAAAGCACCTGTGCCACGTCCGGTGAGGGGCTATACGAAGGTCTGGACTGGCTTTCCAACAACATAGCGAACAAGGTATAGCCTCCAAAATTGTTCGAGATGGTTTCATTCGGATTCTGATGTTTTCCTTTGGTGCAGGCGTGAAGACAGAGAGAGTGATGGTGTTTTTGGTTTTAGTTTCATCTTCTGTGGATGTGTTTTGGTTGTTGGCTGTGAGCAAGTGTACTTGTACTTATAAGTGTACGTTTTTTTTAAATAGTTGGTATGTTGTAATCAAAGAACGGTTTGAGGAATGAATGTGTTGGTTTCTGGTTTTTTTTTTTGTTCAGCGCATCTCGTAACCTTCCCCTTGTTCATCGCCCATTCGCAGCAACTGAGATTCCAATCTACTGAATTTAACATTTATCGACAGCATTGGCAAGCAAACATTAAAAGAGAGAGTATGAGTTTCAATATGTGTATGAATGATTTTTCATATGAACAATGGAAGCTTTTTAATAATACCTAACAACGCATACTTAACGAAAAAGAACCGAGGAACGCTTGCGTCTCCTCTTCCTGGATCTAGAGAGTCTCCAACTCTCTTTGATGTTGAGTCCGACGCCGTCAGAGTTGTTGTTGAAGGAGGAATCAGAGTCATCAGGAAGAGGATGGTAATGACCGGAGTGAGAGAATGAGCCACCAGAGCGGACACGTGCAGATACAGACATTAGGTCCTCTATCATACTCTCCGTGGTCTTCACGGTAATTCCCCGTAGGTACCAAGAGAGAGGAGGCGGAGTCAGAAGGGCCGACGGCTGGAATATCTGATCCATTATCACCTTTGATCCGATCCTTCCTCTCCCTCCGCTGCACCTCCTGTACTCTTCTCTTGTCTTGGGCTTCTCTTTTCCGCACAGATGCTCGTCCACGTACAATGGCTCCACTCTCCAGCACCCCTCGAACACTTTCATGAACATTGTCTTCCCTTGCTTGTACTTTGACTGTTCCATTCCATCCATCACTTTAGGAAGAAGAAAAAACATAGATACTTCCTTTTTTTGGATGGGGAGTTTTCTTACAGAGAAATCTTTTCTGTTCTCGTCAACCAAGAGATGGACGGGGAAGGTTCCGGACCACCAGAGGAAGTTCCAAGCAGCAGCTTGCTCAACCTCCACCACCTGCCTCGACTCCTCATTTATCAAAATCTTCCTTGATATGTTCTCCTGACATATTCATGCATCAGACCCCATTCACATAAACACATATGTTAGAGAGAGGGGTAGGGGTACCTTGATGTTACGGAAGTAGCGTTTGTTGTCGGGATGAGTGAAAATGTCGAAGACCGTATCAGGAGGCAATCCCACAGTCACTTCTATGTTCAGATGGCAGAAGGAACCCTTTTGTGTTTTCACCTTCCAAAACATATAAATCACCCCATCATGCCAGGATCAAAAGGCATATACACCATTTGATAATCAAGAATGATGAACTTGATTATACCTTCACCTTAGGAGGTTGATCAGTCCATGAAGGATTATCTCTCCAAGCTTGCAGTTCCTTCTCTTGATCTCTTTCCACATTATTTCTCTCTCTCTCCGCCGTACACTTGATCGAGCTGAGCTCCTCCTTCGCGTTTCTCATTCTCTTCAACTCCGCCTGCAACCAAAGATACGCGTCAGTCCATACTTAATTTCTAACTTGGTTATTGAGAATCGGTTATGAGCATTGATTTATATATGTAGTTCATATTGATTTGGATATTAGTTCTTGACCTTAATAGGATCTTGAAGCTTCTGATTGATCCATACAGCTACCTCCGGAAACAAACTGTTACCAAACAAGTTGACGAACTTTATGCCGCTTTTCTCCTCGGATCTCGAAACTCCACCTCCACCCATCGGTTTCTGTATAATCTCTTTTGCTAGAAAATTCGTTCGAATGATCAACGGAGAGACACCGACTTACACATGAAAGAACCGCAGAAGTCAACGGGGGCAAAAGCTAAGACCTTGAACTTGAAGACCCTTCGACTATATATTCAGACATTAAGAAAAGATAAGATTCAGACATTAAAGTGGGATATCAAAGATTTGATAAGGCAAAGGTATTAAAGGGATTCATCCGACGGTTGTAACGGCGAGAGTTTGATCCGCGCGGTATGTGCGTTAACGTGAGGGGAACGAAGAACTCGGGCAGCTCAATTGTCGTGTGTTTTCTTACTTTAAGTTGAAAGAATTACGGCACGTGATTCACGTGTTATCCCCCACATTTCCGCCGGAGGGTTTCCTTTCTCGTTTTATCTTCCCAGGGTGACACTCCTCGTTGTTTCTCCGCTGCGTGTCCATACCTACCAAGGCAATAATAGAATTCGCATCCCGACAAAGAAGAAAATGCTGGGATGCTGCGGATTATTAAATGGGTTTAATGGGCCTAAGAATATAAAGGTAGGCCCACAATGGAAATGATGGGCAGAAAGGCCCATCATGGGACCGGCTTGACGGCGGGAAATATCAAAAGAAGAAAAGGAAAAGCAACAAAGGGAGATTCCGTTGGGTAAAGAAAGACTAGAGAGGAGCTGGAGATTGGAATAAATTCCCCCCACCCTCAATTATCGACACATGTGGGCATAACGATGTTAGATCATTTAACTAATTCAGATCTATTATCAAAATGCAATTGTGGAAAAGAAGATGGTAATCAAAATCCAAGGGTGACCCATTGAAGACATTCAAGGAGACAAAATGTTTTTGCATGAAATAACACAAAAGGAATGCCTTTAACACTGATCCCTATGTCCGAAGCCCCCGATTTAGACCTAATGAAAAGAGTAGGCAATATTTTTTTTATTAAATAAAAAAATGCGATTAAAAGGTTCCATTTTAACACAATTTTTTTGTTTATTTATAGATTGATTTAATTTAGTTAGGCGCCTTCACGGTATAGTGGAGGCAGTATTTTTATCATATAACATACAAGTAATAATGGGAGACATTTTTTATTTGGCTGCTAAAGGAGAGTATAAATATACACACGCACTATGGCATTGAAAATGTTAAGATTAAAGAAAGAATGAGGAGTATATAATAATACTAATAAACAAAAGGGTAAAATGGGATATTTCTCCCCTCAGAGACATTACCAAAATCTCACTCTCTCTCCTGACAAAGCAATCAGATTTGGAACCTTTATTAAAGAAGAGAATCTCTTCCTTCTCTCTCCCATTCAAACCCTTGTTTTCACACCCATTACCATGATTCCTTTCGTATTATATCTCGGAAACGTCACCTAAAAATTAATCTCAACTCTTATCCTCTGTTTCATAAAGCAAAAAAAAAAAAAACTTTATAGAGAGAATGGGGTTACTATGATACATATAAGCCCCCAGTGTGAGATGGGATGGGAGGAAGGGGGCATATTTGCATGACTTGTTCCACAAGTCCCTTAGTCTCCACTCAAGGAACTTCCCCCCGACATCTCATCCTCCAAATTTATATACATAGATCTCTTCGAAATCTAAAGCATAACATTCAAAATGGGAGATCAACCGCAACAGGTCCAGCAACCTCTCGTTGTTTACCCAAACACTTTCACTAAACAGTATCCCGACCCTTCTTCTTCTACTTCTCCACCGACTTCCTCTGGTTCGAGTGGATCTTTCGGTACGGTGTTTATAGTGCTGGCGGTGATCCTCGTGCTGTCGGCTTTGGCGTGCGTGTTTGGGAGGATATGCAACCGTGGACGTTTGCCTAAGCAGCAGCAGAAGAACAAGCAGCAGCATGAGAAAGCCTCCAAGAAGAGCCGCGAGATCCGTCCGGTGGAGCGTGAGCCCAGAGAAAATGGAGATGATCTAGAGTTTGGATTCGATATGAAGCGCCCTCCAATGCCCAGACCTGGAGATGGTTTGGAGTTTGGGTTCGATAACAAGAGAGGGGGACCACCTCAGATCAAACATGGAGTTCGGTTCAAGATGCCTGAAGATGGGAGCATCAGAAGAGGCGATCTGCGACACGGACATGGACCTCCCGACATAGAATTCAAGCCATGATGACATGTTCTTTTTCCATTTCGTAGTGTGGGTTTGTTTGGTTTTTCTTGCATGGGTCTGGAATTTGGTGCTGAAACTATGGAAATAAATGTGCATGGAGATGAAATCCTTCTTCGCAAATAAAACCTAGAACGCAATTCCTGATACAATTTCTTTTCTTTTTCCTCAAGAAAGACGTATCAAACTCACTTTCCTTGGAAACTTGAACAGAGATTGTAAAAAAACACATACATAAGAATCATAAAGGGTTCTTGATCAAGGAGATCACACCCAACAAAAAATCCGAGAAGCAACGCCCATCAAAGGAAACAAGATTGAAATCAATCTCCATAATTCTCTATGGGTTCCGCCTCAAATAAGTTTCGAGGCGTCAAAGAGGCAAAACTAAAGGCTCCTAAGCAAGAAAAGTATCTCACAAAATGCAAAGAAAATGGCTTTACAGCATTCAAGCAAAAGGCAGAGATGTCTTTTTTTTTCACCTATTTGTAATGAAATCAGAACAAGCGGTTATTGAAGGCTCGGCTCTCAGATTCGTTCCTCGTGAACTCAGACGAAACACCGTTTGATCCTCTCCTCAAGCTTCTGGGAGAATAGTCTCCGCTATACATTCCAGACTCCGAGGTGTCGTCGAAGCCAAATGCCATTCTCCGGAACTTCATGATGTCTTGGCTGTATTGGCTCGAGTCATAGGCCGTGCTCTGTCCCAATTTGGTTCCGTTGCTTATATCACTCAAGTCCCCTTCGCTGTCCAACGCTCTCACCACCTTACATTTTATTACAAGCAGTTTTCAGATGTGATCAAACTGGACATAACACAGTTACTTTGATAGTTTTTGCTACGAAACAGAGGTACTATATCCAGAGTGAGCTGACAAGGAATGTTGCTAGGCATAAAGCTTCTCCAGTTTCGCCAAGCTAAATAAACCTTTTGCATCCAACTATTCCTTAACCTACTCTGGTAAGTGGGGTTGAAAGAGCAATCACCTGAACCATGCGTGGACGTTTAGGGGCTGAATGCCTAACACACGCAGCAGCGGTTTCAATCATTCTGAATACTTCATTCTCCACGTAATGTTTCTCAAGTCTCGGATCAATCAAATCACTGAATTCTCCGGTTTCTATAGCTTTGAGAAGCAGTGGGCGGGCCTGTGCGTTCCAAGGATGGTGTCTTAAACGATTAATTAAAGTGACTAGAAAGTTTCATGTCAAAGAAGGAGAATTTTGTTGATTAAATTTTTACCCATTCGACCAAACTTTCTTCTCCCAGAGGCTGATTCTGATCAACTGGTTTGCGACCAGTTATAAGCTCTAAGAGCACAACCCCGAATGAGAAAACGTCTGATCTGTCTGTTAGTTTTCCACTTGATGCATACTCCGGTGCCAGGTACCTAAACCAAAACCAAGAATTTCAACTTTTACGGGCGTATCTTAGTACACATATGTAAGCAAAATGATGATTTCCCATGTCAACCAAATAAGTATATATGTGATGAGGTGAGGGCATCACTAGGGCACAAGTACGGGCTTAGGATCGTATTCACAATGAATTCAGATACATTTTTGAATCCATAAACTAGCTCGGTTGTTCTAGACACAGGCCAAATCAAATGAGCTTGTCTTCAAGCATTGGATAAGAAAGGGATTCAGGGCTTACCCGAAGGTTCCCATAACGCGAGTTGAGACATGTGTTTGAGTTGTGTCATTGAGTCTGGCGAGTCCAAAGTCAGCAACCTATACACAGGAGAAGATGGAACAATTAGAGGGTTATTTATCAACTAGGAATTTCACAGACACAAAGCTAGAAAAAGGGGACATGGGAAGTGGATTTCGCTGTTACCTGAGCTTCAAAGTCATCCTCAAGCAGAATGTTTGCCGATTTTATATCCCTGTGAATGATTTTTGGGTGACCTGCAAAAAACAAAGAGCGTACAAAAATCCAACCTTATGATTTGGTTCATGTTTCAAATGAGTACCTAAAACAAAGAAATACAGTTTGACGTTATGAGCTTCCTTCCTACAGAGATGGACGAGGAGATACTTACAGTCTTCGTGCAAATAAGCCAAGCCCTTGGCGGAGCCTATTGCAATCCTAACTCTTTTAGCCCATTCGAGTACCGGCATTCCCTTCCCTGTGAAAGTTTATAAACATGGAAATAATTGTTAAGAAATATGGAATTTCTCATCAAGATTGTGGTTTTGGAGTAATTGTACTGACCGTGCAAGTGATGCTCCAAGGTTTGGTTAGAAACGAACTCATAGATAAGCAATCTATGAGGATCGGAAATGCAGTAGCCAACAAGAGAGACGAGATGGCGATGGTGAACGCGACTGATAATCTCAACCTCGGCCTTGAACTCGCGGTCACCTTGACCACTACCTGATTTGAGCAAAAAAATATTCAACATATTCGAAATAGATCAAAGATCCAACAAAAATTCAATTGGAACCAAATAAAATATCCATATCCAACATTCGCCTGACTAGATATACATAACGAATGTATCACAATATATATAGATGACAAATTTATAAAAAACGTAGACCACTTTCCCGCCAGCCAATGTACCTTTGTAGACACAACCGAACCCACCTTCTCCCAGAATGTTGTGCCGAGAAAAGCCTTGGGTTATGTCCATCAGCTCTTCATAGCTGAAATGCGTCTTGGCGCCACCAATGACTGCCGAGTCAGATGACTGCATATACCCTCTTTGGCTCCCGAAGCTGTTTCCGGTGGATGAATGTTGCTGCGTATTGTACATGGAACCACCCCCATTCCCTGAATACCCCTTTGTCGGATTGTGACCGTAGTAAAATCCGTCTTCATTTTCACAAAAAGAAACGGCTTTTATCAATCACTGGCCTATAATTGCATCCATGTCTACAAAACCGAAAACACACAGACGAGTATGGAGCAAGATTTCACCTGATTTGACAGAGAAGTTTGGCGGAGGCATGTACTGTGAGTTACCGTAGCTATCCATGCTCCTCTTCTTCTTTCTCCTCACTAAAAACACCACTGCAATTAACGCGATGATGGCGACCCCCCCCACCCATCCCCACCATAGTCTTCCCTTGATAGCCTCCCCCATTGGCAGGAGGTGGGACAGAGTCTCCCGAGGAGTTTCCGCTGCTGGGAACTCCCGGAAGAGGCGGTGGCTGAGCCGGCACGCCCGGAGCAGAGCCAGGTTTGGGTGGTGGTGCATAGAATGGGCTCGGAGGACCCGGAGGGACTTCCTGCGGGGCCGGAGGCGATTTCGCTGGTCCTGCGGGAGGGTGTTTCGGCTTTGTTGGTGGAGACTCGGGAGGCGGCGATTGAACGTCCGGCGGCGGCGGAGGAGGGGGGCTACGGGAGTCGGTCGGTGGAGTTGCAGGGTCCGCCGGTGGAGGAGGAGAAGGAGGAGGAGGGGAAGGGGATTTGGTCGGGGGCGGCGGTGGCGACGAGACTACAGGTGGAGGATCGGCCGGAGGTGGGGCGTCCGGCGGAGGAGGTGGGCTTGAGAGCGGTGGTGGGGGAGGAGGTTTGGAGTCCGACGGAGCCGGAGGAGGAGGTTTGGAGACCGACGGAGCCGGAGGAGGAGACGACAGCGTGGGAGCCGGAGGAGGAGACGACAGAGTCGGAGCCGGTGGACTCGGCGGCGACAACAGGTCGGAGATCGGCTTAGGCGGAGACGCGGAATCAGACGGAGGAGGGGCGGAGACCCCAGTGGAAGGGTCCGGCGGAGGAGCAGAATCGGCGGGTGGTGCTGGTGGCGAAGAACTCGGCGAATTGGACGCCGAGTCCGACATTTTCGGCCTCTGCTCCTGTTTTTCCAATTATGGTAAATTATATTCCAAAATCAACCACAAACCCAGAAATTCCCCCCCCCCCTTTCAACACCTAGTTTCCATCTCTAATTCCTTTTCAGAAGAAATGCCGAATCATCGTGATTCTCCAATGAGTAAACTAGAAATCGGAAAAGAAGAACACCAAAGTTTAAAAAGGGAAATTAGGGTTTAAAGGAGGTCGAAAATAGCTGGAGACAGAGGAGAAAATGGGAGCCATTACAGGACGTGTTTGAAACGGTGGGTGTAAACAAGTTAATGGAGGCCATTATCATTGTTGATGATAGTTGCAGGCACGTCGTTGTGCCCTTCGATCCACACACTCCCCCTTTCTCTTTTTTATTATTTTTTTCTTTCTGTATAGGTGTGTTCTTTTTTTTTTGGCTCTTGAGTCTTGAGAATATATATGTCTCCATCATTCCCGGGTTACCGCGCAAATCAAGCGGACTTTTGAATTTCTAACTTCTCTGTTCCGACCCGACCCGACCCGGTAACCGATTCGAGATAGCCACGTCGGATGGATACAGAGAGAAAACAGATAAGGGAATCCTATTAATGGGCCTTTGGAGCCCTAAAGAAAGAAACGGGCTTTAACGAGGACACAGACACGGAATAGAGTCCAGTTTGTGCAACAACCCTTCCAATAACTATGCGCATAAAATATTGTTATAGAATAGAATAGGATAAGTGAGTTGGACCTACTAGTGTATAATATAAAGTTTGAGTTCAATTTCCTTCCCGTAAGGTATGACTCTTGCTTTCCCAGTCAATCAGAATATTTGGATTTGGATTCATAATGTTCGAATATTTAATTATAAGATTTATATCCAAAATTTGAGATTTATAAATATCCGATATACGACTGGTAGATGTCTAGATCCAGATTTATTTAAAAAATAATAATAATATTTATATATAATTTTTTTTAAAAATAAAAATATATTTATAAAAATGATTGAATTACGAGAAAAATATGAGATAATATAATAATAAATTTAATTTTTTGAGATAATATTTAAAAATATGAAATTATTTAACGTAAAACAATTATATTTTATAAAAATATTATATAAATATAAGATATATTTCTTTATAATTATACTATTCAGATATCTCTAGATATACGGTTTTAAAAATTTTATTATTTGGATTTAAATTGCACTCAAGTATTGAAAAATTTGGATTGGGATTTAAATTTAATAGCGAAAAGAGGAAATCACAGTCTCACACGGGAAAAGGAACGGCACCGTGGGAGAGCTGACTCGAGCCAGATCCAGCAAACATAAATATAGAAGAAAAAAATCTCCACCTTTCGAAACAACCTTTTCCCCTCTCCTCTTCTTTATTCTTTCGTCATGGCCGGGCAGATCGATATCGATGACCAAGCTTCATTCACCAACCTCGGCCCTGGAGAAGTCCTCGATTCCATCCCCGACGAAGCTGATTCAGGGTTTCATCCTCTCTCCGCCGACGGACTTGTCCCTATCTCACAGGGCAACCCCGAATACAACATCATCACTGCTTGCTTTCTCGCCGGCCTTGGTCCGCTGGCCGACGGCACCGCAATCGTATCGGTGCTCAAGAACTCTACGGGTAGCTGCTCCACTAAAGCGAAGTTTATAGCGTTTAGGGCTTTCATGGAGGCGGTTGCGAGGAAGAACGGCGGCGTGGCAAACGTCAAGTACGGTTGGTTTCCCGGTTCCAAGGAGGAAATCAAAAGGATAATTTCGCTCGGTTTCAGCGGTCGTGAGGTCGAGAAATTCGCCAACGAAGCTACGTCTCACGGAGTTGGGGTTCATCTTGTCCCTTCGAATATCCCTTTAGCTGCGTAAGTTCGATACGATTCCGTTACGTGTGTTTGGTTTGGTTAATTAGTGTGTTTAGTCTCCGTGAAAATTGTGGGGGGAAAGGAAAACAGCGTGATCCAACCATGTTCGACCTGATTCCTGATTGATGAATGGATTCTCTTTTGTCTCGACCTGATTCCTGTTAGAATTTTCTCGTCAAACATGAAAACTAAAAAAAAACTCCGAATACGGAGAAACTGGGCCCCATGGAGGAGGGAATACGATCCTCCTGCACTCTTGCCATCGCTCACTCGGTGCTCTGACTTGGAATTTGTTCGCTGGAAATTCCAACAGGGCGTTAGGTGCAGAGCCGGACGAGGAGGGATTGAGGCATCTTCTGTTGTGCCGTGTAATCCAGGGGAACCCGGAGAAAATAGTGTCCGGCTCAAGGCAAATGTACCCAAGTTCCTCTGAATTCCACTCTGGTGTGGATGATCTTCTAAGCCCCCGCCATTACATTATCTGGAGTTGTTCCATGAATGCCTACCTCCTCCCCAGTTACGCTGTCACTTTCAGGTCTCCTCATCTCATTCCCAGAGGTATTGGACTATGCCCGATTACACTTTGTCACTTTACATGTATTTACGTGTACAGGGGCCAGGCTCGACGTGGGTTAGCTTTGCTGCGCTGCTGTCCATACTCTCTGAGTCGCTGGACCCACCGAGAATGAACATGATCTTGAAAACCTATTCTGAATTCAGGGTACGCATGTCTCTTACTACTTGTAAGATCAGTTGATTCCACCATTACCGAACTCCATTGTGTCTGCAGAGACGGGAGGTGAGGAGAGACAAGCTGGTGCGGAAGATGAGAGAAGTGGCAGGTGACGATCTTCTCAAGCACATCATCAAGAGATACAGAGGCGCTGACAGAGTTATTACGTGAAAGGTTCCATCTTTTCTTTTCTTGTTACGGTAAGTCTCGTTTAGAAAGTTTTGTTTCCAGAATCAAATAATAAATAAATAAATAGGAAAGTGAGAGATGTAACTTTCAACGTGTTAATAATGGCTAGACAATGGTTGCTTGCTGAACTTTTGTCGTCCATACGGACATGTCCACATCAGCACCTTTTATACGTTTGTGATTGTCAGCCCATATTAAGAATCTTTCTTCTCTGTTGAAAGTTTTTTATTTTTTTCTTTTATCGGTTGGATTCAGGAAGGAGCTTGATCTTGAAAACATGGCGATGCATAGAATGGTGAATAGAGCGAAGATTATGCGAGGATCGGGTGGCACCCTTGGGTGGGATATTACATTATTAATGGTGGAGTTTGGGTTTTTTTTTTTTTTTTTCTATTTACCATAACAAAACACAATATATAGTTGCTTATGTTTTTTTTTACTTCTTAAAGATTGAGTGTCCCACTCCTCTCTTTTTACGGTGAGAAAAATAGAAAACAGGGTTAAGGACGAATGGTTTAAAATATAGAAAAATAAATATACTAAAATGAGAATAATTTTTTTTTAAAAAAAAATTGGGTAATGAAAGGAGGAGAGGAGCCTTTATTGTGCATGGGAAAAGAGAGCCTCCTCCGGAGGACTGCTGAAGCTGCTGCTGCTCTTCAAACTGCGCATCTGTCCTTCTAACTGCCCCCCCCGGCCCCCGCCCCACAATTTATAATGAAAAAGAAGAAAAAGACAAGTAGCCGCTTATTACTGTTTTTTTTATTATTTAAAATTACTGAAACTCAAATGAACAAGGAGCAGGTGTATGGGGGGTGGGGTGTACCTGACCATTTAATGCTTTTTGTCGCTGCAGGTCCTCTACAAGCTTCTCCACGCTGAACCAACCACCACACACACATTCTTCTCTCAGCTTATAAAAAGGAAAGAAATTCGGTCTACTCGACTGAGAGAGGCATTTTCCAGACCTCTGCTGCAAAAAATGAACCTGAGACTGCAATTCTCTCTCCCTCGATGACGACATCTGCCCGTACCCACACTCTCCTTTAAAATCTCTCTCCTTACAAGCTTCTCCACGCTGAACCAACCACCACACACACATTCTTCTCTCAGCTTATAAAAAGGAAAGAAATTCGGTCTACTCGACTGAGAGAGGCATTTTCCAGACCTCTGCTGCAAAAAATGAACCTGAGACTGCAATTCTCTCTCCCTCGATGACGACATCTGCCCGTACCCACACTCTCCTTTAAAATCTCTCTCCTTTCCAAATGTATCAACGGATTGGAAAGAAGAAAAAAAAAAAAAAAAAAAAAAAAAAAAAGAAAGAGGGACAATGACCTTCATTCCCAATACCCCTTCCGTGTTGAATCCATGTTCTGTACAGCAGTTACCTGATGGATCAAATCACATGACCATATCATTAAAATGAATCATCATAAACTCTCTAATTCCTGCTTCACATGATTTACCATTTCCGGCTGCTCCCTCAATATATCTAATTAACCTGGTTACTTTTTCCTGCAAACCAAATGAAGGAAACAAAAACATGAACGCTCTTGCAGTCGAACTCCACATATAGCTTACTACGACAGTAGACGAGTTCTTAAGTACCCTTTGGATGTTATTCTGGTAAAGGAGATTCTGTAGCAGCGGGAGCACTGAACCGGCTGTGCGAGTCACACGATTCCATGCTTTCCCAGAAGTTGAAGCAAACCCGTTTTTTGGTTCATCCTGGGGAGAGAAACTTTGTTCAGAGTCTAACAATCGCAAGGGCTCCATGACATTGCATTTCAGAATTACCGGGTCACTTCCTGTGTTTCTCGTTCGCTTGTCGCCTGCTGACATTATCTGTCCAAGTGAACCTGGCCTTTCTACAGCCCCTTCACCTGACCTACATGCATTGTTCTCCCTGGAACGTATGTTGAATTGATCTCTGCTTCAACATTTTAGTGCAAAGTTGTCTACTTATAAATGATACGAGAAACTAAGCCATAAGCTGAGCAAATCCTTGGTCGTGATTATAATAGACCGAGATATTATAAAATAGACAAGACAGCACGGATCAGGGGCTTGATGGAGCAGAGAGGAGGTCCCATGATCCAGATATACTAAGAGAGATGAGGGAAAGAAAAGGTCGCAAGTACCCAGGAGATTGTAGGAACTGGAAAGGAGATGAAGGAGATAGCATCTCGACTGGTTGATTGTTGGTCCCGTTGATCACGTCCTGCAAGTTAGACAAGATTTCAGAAGAGGCCGCTGGCAGGAACATAAAACACAGAGGTGTAGGCATATAGGGTATATACCCTAGGAGAAGTTACAGTTGCTGTTTCTGAATCTTTGGACCTTTCCAATGGAAAAGTGTTTGATCTTTCAACCTGTGGATTTCCTCTCAGGACAGGCGTGTTATCAAAATCCTGATTGCAGCTTAAATCTTGAATTTCCGAGCTGCATATTTCATCACCCAGAATCTGATAAACAGAAATATTGAAGCATTGTGAGAGTCTATGAACTATTATTCTTGCATAAACACTATGCCATCACCATACTTACAAGAGCAGCTTGTTTCTTCAAGTCCTCGAGATCAAAATTCCAAGCACTAATTCCACGCATGTATTCTTGCTGTAAGAAAGCAAGCAAATTACTAACCATGCACTCTGATTCCATTACAGGATGCAGAAATTTGTATAGCTAGAGTCACTGGTGCATAGATGACATCGTGGGTTGATTCGGCCATGGTGATAAAGAAATGGTCGATGGTAGTTATCTTTGATGTGCATGCAGATGCAAGATGTTATCTCATATCATACCTGTGATAATTGCTCCTTATCGCCATTAATACCTCTATTCTGAAGAAATAACTCGGCCTCTTTCTCCTGCAAAGTCATCATAAGCGAAATTGAGTGACTTAAATCACACTGGATGTAATGAGAATGGTGGATGGTGAAAATCCCAACAGAAATGGAAATCTGCTACTGACCTTCAGCTGCCTAAAGCGGTCACCAAGTGGAGAAAGGCTGTCAAGAATTTTCCGCGACAAATATTCACTGGAGCGAGCATGTTTGAAGAAGGGATGTTTCAGAAGTTTAGCTGAGGTCGGACGTTTCTTGGGATCCTTCACTAAGCATGCTGCAACTAACTCTCTAAAAGACTACAAACAAGGATATAACATATTTCTAAGTTAAACAGATGGAAGTTTTATGATTGAGTTATTCATCATTCAATCCTACCAACCTTTGAGAATTTCTTGTCTCTTTCATAGTCGAGACGAGGAGGAGCATTTTGTAAGGTCATTAATAGCACCTGAGGCGATTAAGAAAAGGGAGCAATTGAGTAAAGGTAAATAAGAGGAGACAGAAGGAAAACAATGGAGAAAAACAACAGAATATGCAATGAAAGTTCCTTTGGCAAGAGAAACCTTCATTGGTGGATATTTGGAAAACGGGGCATGGCCATGAGCAAGCTCCAGGGCAGTTATGCCGAATGACCAGATGTCTGCTCTGTTGTGCCAAATAGAAGTTTTACAATCAATGACCAAACGAACTCTGTCAAGATGGTGATGCTGAAAATAAAAAAAAACCTCATACATACTTGAAATCATAGCCATCCACTTGTTGCATAACTTCAGGTGCCATCCTGGAAAGGAGGCAAAATTTTTCCTCAGCTAAAAAGCCAATTGACAATGCTCCTAAAACGAAACAAGTCAAGAAACTTGAGAAACCTATGGTCACATTAAACACGCACCAGCAAGGAGTTCCGACGAAGGTATTCCTAGTACGCTTTCTTTCCCCACAATCAAACATGCATGCCGAAACCCCAAAGTCACCAAGCTTAACTGCGCCTTTCGAATCAACCAATATGTTCCCAGCCTATAACGGAATATGCGTCGCTCTATCAAACATGACACGTACAAACTTGTGGCTCTCAAAGTTCATTTTGGAGCGCGCAATCATGCTCTCGATAGGCATTAAGGAATTCCAAGAATAGGATAAAGTTAATTAATTAGGAAAAAATGTACCTTAACATCCCTGTGGATGTGTCCTTGTCCATGAAGATAAACAAGAGCTTTGAGTACTTCCCGCAACAGAGTTGCAATTATGGGTTGTTCGAAACCTTCGAGGTGGGCTGATTTCATTATGTGAAAGCAGGAGCCAGCCGACATGTAAGGCATTACAATCCACAAGCTGCTACCATCCATGAAAGAGCAATGCGCCTTCAATAGATTTGGATGATCAATTAAGCTCATCGTGTGTACTTCTTTGCGAATTGTGTCCTGCATAAACAAGCTCGGTTACCGGACAAAACCCACGACCAAAAAAATGCAATTGTTGACTACAGAAGAATAGCTCAGACGAGTAAAGTCCCAAGGCGATAAACAAAATCCAAAACACGCAGAGAAGAAATATGACTCAGAGGAGATAGAGATACCAACCATATCGTTCCGGCATCTTTCAAGGTCCAAGATTTTGATGGCCACAGTCTCGTTGAGCGCAATGCATCTTGCTTTGTACACGGAGGCACTGACACCTTCACCGACCTCCTCGAACAGCTCATAGCCGCTCGCATTGACCGGAAATCTCTTCGTAGACGAACTTGCCATTGCCTGTCCCTGCAGAAGCATCATCAATAAGTCTCCCTTTATCTCACCGGACATCACCAGAATCACAACTAAACCGACGTTTCCGACACTATCCAAATTGCACTCGTCAAATCTCCAAAACTAACATATAAATCGCATCATGATTCACGATCACCCACCGGAACAATCGAATACAGACAACCAGAGACGAAATGCAATCTCAGCGAACAATGCGAGAAATGGAACCTGGATTGCACCCACAGCGAACTCCGGTCGATTCTTCGCGGAAGCAGATGAAGAAAAAGAAGGAGAAGAGGAGGATCCCGTGGAGAAGGGTCGGAAGTTGAGATTGAATGTTTCGGCCACAGACAGATTAGGATGCTTGGGGAGTCAGCTGTTGGTCACGGATCCAATCTCCATCTTCCGGTGACAGAAATCTCCTTTTTTGATTTGGCAAAATCCAATCCGAAAATCAATCGGATCCTCTGTTTCGTCTTCCCCTTTATTCTCTCTGACTCTGCAGAGTTGTTTGGCTGCTAGCCCAACATGTGGCGCCATCAGTTAACTAAACTTAAAAAAAAAAGGTATAAATTAATTTCATAATTTAATTTTCTCGTGTGTGAGATTTGGCATTATTAACTGGCGATGCACTTTTGAAAAAGAGTCACATTTTGTTATATCTATATTTGATCATTTAAGCAATGCGTTATATAATGGATGAACGATTAAACTTTTTTTTTATTAAAAAAAGGGTCTCCGGATGGTGTGTTATATAAGTTAACACGACGAATAAATCATAATGAATTATAGACAAATTCTAAACAAGTTGAATATTTTTATTATTACCGTAGATATGAATAAGAGCAACATTGTTATTATTACCGTATTGGTATTAGAGTGGGCGAAACAAAATTCTGTAAATTGTGAGCGAGTGCACAGACACGTGCTTTTATATGTTTTGCTTGCAAAGATGCTTTTGGAGGCATATTATATGGTGTTTTCGGACATACTATGTGACATAAAAGATTTTATAACTTTTGTTTGGTAGATTTTTTAAATGAATAAACCTTAGAAACCATAGTGGATCTTAAAAATAATGTTGTTCCTACAAGGAATGTGGACTTAAACGCCTCGATTGACTAAATACAAACACATATATACTTACATAAAATAACTAAATATTCTACAAATTCATTATTTGTATTGACATCTTCATGTGTAAGGTACAATATATCAATATTATAATTCAACCTATCCATTAATATATATAATCAATTTTGCAAGTCTAATTCCACGATACAATACAAACAACAGAGCATTAATACCCGGTCATTTATTATAAATCGAATTTTCGTCAAATTTCTGGTTAGATATGTAGGGCCCTTGTGATATCTACACGTGCAATGAACAAGTCAAATTTTAGATGATTACTCCCTTTTATTTTATTTTACTTGATATTTTTAAAGATTACTTCAAGTGGCGGATCTAGACAGATATATTAATAGGGGCAAAACTCTTTTTATGATGAACAAATATAAAATTTATGGGGTCATTTCATGATTTTATTTAAATTTTTATAAAATTTGTATGGAAAATTAAGGGGTTGAATGTGATTAGTTTTTATTTTGGGTTTTGGGCTTAAGTTTTTGGTTTTTAGTTTTTAGTTTGGGTTTTGGGCTTAAGTTTTTGGTTTTTAGTTTTTATAGTTTTTACGGTTTTTAGAAAACTTGATTGGTAAAAATAATATTTTAGCTTTTGATTTTAGATTTTATACTTAAAAATTATCAAAAAAGGTATTTATTATTAAAACAAAAATCATATATATACACTATGTTTATATTGTTCAAATATATATACGTTGTATTTATAATGTTTCAATATATATATATATATATATATATTCAACATTAATATGTATATATATGTATATGTATGTATAACTATAGATATAAGATGACTACAATATATATTTTGAATAATAGATTTTGAATTACATACCTAAAATTTTGTTTTTTTATAAAATCTTTTTCAAATATGAGTTATGGTTTAGAATACAGTCTTTATATAGATATGGGTATAATGTGAAATTATTTTTAAAATAATAGACATTTTAGGAAAATCAAAATAAAAAAATCTTGACTGACAATTTTTTGGTTTCATCTCTAAAAATTGGAAAAACTTCTTCCATACCTATAATTTTTAATTAGTTGAATGGGGGCATATGACCCCATATTGTTGCACGTAGATCCGATTTACTTCTTTTTCATACTTTCCCACTTATGAAATTCCAGTATTATCCATATAGATCTAATAAACTATATAAGCAATGTCAATATTATCGTACTAATCAAAACGACGTCACAACATTAAAAGTAAAAACCAAGGCGTTCCATGAGAATCGGCTGTAAACATCCAAGAAAATCTATATAGACCCACATCATTATATATATATATATATTATAAAAGAAAATAGTTCACGATTAAGTTGTTTATTCAAGGAGCCTAACCAGGGTTGCTAGAAAAAGGGAAAGATGTAACCAACCAACAGCTACCAAATTCCATTTATTCCATAATATCATTATAAGAAAAAATATGAATGGTTTTTGTCTTCATAACCACAACCATTGGTCGGTCCGTTCTTATGGATAAAGTGTAACGCGTGTCCACTTGGAAACGGACACATTCACATCTCTCAACTGCAACAATCCCCAATTCACATCCATTGAATCCTAGTATCTAACGTCTACCATATACGTATTACAATCGTATATATATACGTTTTAAATTTAAGGTATATTCTATAATTGGTTTTAGGAATAAAAAGTTGGATTTACCGGTCACCACTACACAGTCATCCTGCAGAAACGTCATTTATTTGGATCTTCTTTTGGCGTAGCGTTGCTAATTTATGCGTGTCCAAGGGTTTCGACATGTGAAGCAAGGAATCTATTACAGTATTTGCTTTTTATGTTCCTAGCTATCCAAACTCTAATAAATGATTGTATATTAAACATCAAACCTATGATAATTTATTATCAAAATCTCTTAATTTAATTAGAGTTAAACGTCGTCGATGTTGTATATTTATATGAAATTACGCGCATGCTTCATAACATTAATTATAATAAAACCTGATGAAGATAAAGGAATAGATCATCAATCAAATAAAATATTAAATTTATCAAGACTAATAGGATCCACGCATAAGTATTATTGTTAAGAGTTGTGAGTTTAGGGTCCAACAAAATAAACAAGGGTGAACAAAAATATTCAACATATTCGAAATAGATCAAAGATCCAACAAAAATTCAATTGGAACCAAATAAAATATCCATATCCAACATTCGCCTGACTAGATATACATAACGAATGTATCACAATATATATAGATGACAAATTTATAAAAAACGTAGATTCTGATCCCGATGGAAAAAAGTTTGGATCCGGTGACACGTACTGTCTGAGAACTCGAACCTTGCATTCAATCCCTAACCGAGTCGAACCGGTCGTAAACCATGACTTGAACACGGCAGCAGAAACCGGAAAAATCAACGGTATCCACCGGTCCCTTGACCAGAGCCACGAGGGTCAACGTCACGCGTGTGCGAACCTATACCAAACCAGACCAAATCTAAACCAATAATCGGGTCAACTCACCGTGACTATTCTTCTGGAAGGAAAGGCGTCGGTCAAGGTCAACACGTGGAACCCGATCTAGTGTCCACGTCAGCCCACATGTCATCTGGTGGACATATTAATTTGATTTGCTTGCCAAGGAAGCTTGTGGTAGGGGTTAAATGACGAAAATACCCTCGAGGCCGAGAACATTGACGCGTGGATGACAATCGCACCCCTAGCTGGATCACGCGCTTTAACATCAAAACTGAATAACGACGAAAAGCGCAGGGGTGATACCAAAAAAAATCATTTGTTCTCTTGTCCAACTTTAGAAAACCCTATTTACTTAATTTTTCACTGTTTTTTTTTTGCATTATATTTGAATCTTGAAACGAATCTGATAGGACTCAGAGAAAATATCTATTCCATGACAAAAAGACGTGTGAATTAGTAGAGAGACGAAAGCTATGTTTCATCAATTTTCACAAGGAGGCTCTGACACTACGGAAAGCATGTCTATGCGTCAATTATTGCTCACATCCGCTAATATAGTATATGTATCCATGTAATTACAACTCCTTAAGACGCAGGAAAGCTTTTTCTTGGTATTGGACATTAACAGTACTTAATTGTCTAATTTATAATTTTAAAAATATACTATGATTATGGATCGCATAGATTTGCAAGTATACATTTTTACTAAAATATTTATTTTGTTACTGATAAGAAGCGATTCCTAGACACGGAGAGAGTATAATTAGAGGGGCTGTTGTTTGGGGACTGGGTCTGTACTCTGTATAAAAGGGGAGTCTCCTGTTCCATCTCACAATCCCAAAAAATTAAAATCTTTTCTTTATTTCTGTGAAGACCCGTCGTTTCAGCGTTCAAGCTTGATCGAGGATGATGCAGGCTGATCCTCTGTCATCGCAGCCGCCGGCGAAATACGCCGGTGATGACCGATTCCCGGGTCTTTTCGGCAAGCTGACTGAGGATTTGGGTTTCAAATTGAAGATTGATGGTTCCCGAGAAGAAGAAGAAGAGGAGGAGGAGCGACCAAATCTGGAGGAATCCGTCAAAGTCCATGGTGAGAGGGACGAGGAGGAGGAAGAAGAGGATTTCTCGTTCGCTTTTGTACAAAGCGACGGATCTCCGATAACCGCCGAGGAAGCTTTCCAGAACGGCCTTATCCGCCCGGTTTACCCTCTCTTCGGTCAAAATCCCGAGTATGAACAGGGTGACTATGTCCTCGTGCCCGAGGACCAGAGTCTAGCTCTGCGGCTGCCGGTGAGGAAAGTATTCGTGGAGGATAACGCCGGCGGAGACAGAGACGAGGACGAGGAATCCACGGCCGAATCGTCGGAGCCGCAGGGGCCGTTCTGCTCGTGGTCGGGGAAGACGGTGGCGGAGGCGTCTCCGGAATCATGCCGGAAAAGCAACTCGACGGGGTTCTCGCGACTGTGGAGGTTCAGGGACCTCCTCCTGAGGAGCAGCAGCGACGGAAAAGACGCATTCGTGTTCATGAGCAGCGAAGGGGCGGCGAAGGATGGGGGGAGAGGGAAGAAGGAGGCGTCGGCTCACGAGAAGCTGTACGTGAGGAACAGAGCGAGCAGGGAAGAAGCGAGGCGGAGATCATACCTTCCGTACAAGCAGGTTGGGTTTTTCGCCAATGTGAACGGTCTCAGCAGAAACATCCATCCGTTCTGACGATTTTAAAGCCTTTGAAGAACCCGGACTTGGATTCTAGTGGGGGCTCTCAAGATCCCAAGTTTAGGTTTTCGGTTGGGGTGGTTGTATATATAAAAAAAAAAAAGTCTACTTTATTTTTTAGGTGGTTTTGGGTTGGGGACTGCGGATTGTTGTTGTTGTTCGGTACCCCGACTACTGTTCTTTTGTCCTTAGGGTGTTAATATGTCGAAAAGTAGGCCTAGGAACGGTTTCAAGTGCTCCCAAGTTCTGGGTCAGCAGCAGGTCTGCAATTCTAGCTCTCTACTGATTGTAATACCACCAACAATGAACATCACATGCCTTTTACATTGATTAATTTCCATGTCAATCTACGGATTTGAATGTCAGTTTCGTCGATTGCTGGAAAGTGCCCAACATATGCGTTAATCTGTGAAGAGATACGAGGTTTCTCCTCTTTATCACATGTTTGGAAAGTGCCAAACATTGCAAACACTCGACCCATTAAGTAATTGGTCTAACTGTTTTTGTTTCGAATCGTTTTCTCCAATCAACTTCACTTACTATGGGCTCGGCCCGTAATGCTCTAAAGACTACTTTGATTTTTTTTAAGCCCAAACTTATTCCCCGCCAATACTCTCACTTATCTTCAATCATGGAGTTAGGCCCAATTAGCCATACAAAAACCTGGCCCATTTTTTGTATAATGTGACCAATGATTATCGTCCGCCTAGTACGTGTTTACATTTCTCCTCTTTTTTTTTTTTTTTGATGAACATGTGTTTACATTTCTATTTTTAGTCATAATCATCAATTGGACGTTTATCTGCTGACTATCGATACAAATTTGATAAACTATTTTTTCATACAACGGTTATGAACACATAAGTCATACTTACCTAGCTATGAACATTTATTTATACACTAAAATAGTTTCATACTTTTATTTATAATTAGCTTCTCTACCAATAGAATCGAATTTAGGGTTTTGAAGATGACTTTGTCACCCCTCGATCATTGCAGGTTGGGTAAATAGTTCCGTACTAGAACTATAAAATTCAGGGTTTATGAATTAAAGAAAATCATTGGTTAGTTTGTGGGTTAAATTTAAACTGAAATTTTAGAACCATTTATTCTTAAAAAATCGCTGGAAAGGTCAAAGTGTCCTTTGGTTGGGGGACACTTGTTTGGGCCTTCTCTTGTTTTGGGTCAAAAGGCATCATTTTGATGACTTAATTAAAACTCACAAGATTTAATTATTTCACGTGTAGGTTTGAATAACGAGGAAAAAGTTATACGGACATAAATGTATAGGTGTATACATGTTAATAGAGTGTGTATGGATGGATGATTGATGGTGACGAAGGAGTGGTCTACGTCATTCTGTTGGGAAGCGGCACAAAACGGCGACGTAATAGAAAACTGAAAGTGGGCCTATATCGTAAGCAAAGGCCACACGTCGGCCCAAAAAAATGGCATCGCTTGACTCATCCCCCGTCCGTCGCTCTTTCCGATCTTTCCCATTTCTTAGATCTCGCGCTATAAGACAGCTTCTCGTGAAGCTCATTAACCGATAAATTTTTTTCAAAAAAAAACAAACTCCCCACTTCCTGCAACAATCTCGCTTTCGAGCAAGGTCTGTAAGAAGTTTACCATGATCATTATTTCCAACAATTTCTGCTGCTGGATTCTGATCCGAATTTGGATTTGGATCACGCTTGTACTCTTATGGCTGAAATTGAGAACATGATCGTTTCTATCCCGTATTATCTCTTTCTTTTTTTATGATCGGTGTTTCGCGCGGTTTCGGTCCCTCCGAAAACGTATATGAATCGATCTAATGATGCGAATTACTCTTTGATCTCATCGAATTTGAACTCTCTTCGTCTCTAATGGATCCGATCGCCGGGATTATTCGAGCCATGTAGACACGGTTTTCGATTTACAGACCTATGATTTGTTGGAAAGAAAAAACGCCTGATTTGATTTGTGATTTGCTTTAGGGAGACGGACGACATGGCTACGGACTCGTACGAAGACGCGATTGCAGGACTGAATCAGCTTCTCAGGTACACCCACTGCTCTTTTCTCTCTCTCTCTTCCTATTCTCTGCCAATTAAAGCTTCGGGGGACGGTGTCAACCACGAAACTCTGGATTTTCCGTTTGAATAATCCATCGTATGCACGGTTTTCGAGTTACAGTCCCAAATCATCGCCATCAGATCCGAGAAATGGCGTTGAGTCGGGACATGGACATTGAATGGCCCCCGCATATGGTTTTATGGTAACGTTGGTGCAGGAAGAAGTCAGGAGTGGGGGACGTAGCCGCCGCAAAAATCAAGCAGCTAACGTCGGAGTTGGAGGAGATGGGTTCGTCCAAGTCTGACGCGGTTGAGCGAATCAAATCCGGCTTTATCCATTTCAAGACTCATAATTACCAGTAATTGTTTCTTTCTCCTCAAATGGAAACCCCATTATCATTATTAGTGTTGACGTATTTTTCTCTCTTTTTTATTCCGTATGGATCCGTCCAACCCGGAATTTTGGATGTGGAACCTCATCCATTCCGACTTTAATAAAGCATCGTGAATCCACTTTTAGCGTGCCCTGAAACGGCCACTTGCCCTGTTTGTAATCCCAATTTCAAAAAGTTATCCGATTTATTTAATCATTATATTGAGATTATCCGGCCAATAAAAAAGGAGATTAGTGGATCCCACTGGCATGTGCAGAGACAGTTAAAAAAAAGGTTTTGGATTAATGGATATGATGATCTCCATTTCCTAACATTAGCCCTGAGTTTAATGGAATCTTTGTTTTCTGCAGGAAGAATCCTGATCTGTACGATCAACTTGCCAAGGGTCAGAGCCCCAAGGTTTTCATTCCCGCATTCTCTTTTTTGGTACTTTTATTAAATTATTCTCTGGCGGTCCAATAATTGACGATCCCAATAACAAAAGTGAAACAGGGGAAGCTGTAAAATACCTTTTTGTGATTTTTCCAGGCAAAGCACAGACTATTCAAATAGAGATCAAAGGGTAGATTTTGATTTGAAATAATCTTTTGGATGGTATAAAATGCAGTTTATGGTGTTCGCGTGTTCGGATTCACGAGTATGCCCTTCTCACATATTGAATTTCCAACCGGGGGAGGCCTTTGTTGTCAGAAACATTGCGAACATGGTGCCCCCTTTTGACCAGGTTCCCATCAGTATATCACCAAAAAAACACTTCTTTTTTGTTAGAAAAATTTCACCTTTTTTATTTTTCTGAAACGATTTGGTAATGGCTTTGCTTGTTTCAGAAAAGACACTCCGGGGTTGGTGCTGCCATTGAATATGCTGTTATACACCTTAAGGTTATATTAAAGTATCCTTCTTGCAGTATTGTACTTGGTTTTTTTTTTTTCCTTCCAATATCATCTCTTTCCCACCCCCCCAAAAAAAAAAAAATTGTAACCTTTCGATAGAAAGAGGGTGTTAGGAACTGAATTATAAAGATTCTTATCAAGAAATAACCTAATCCTCCAGATTTGTCTTTGTTGCGGGGACTGTGTGTGGTTGATAAATGGGTGTGGATTTGTAGGTGGAGAACATTTTGGTGATAGGACACAGCTGCTGTGGTGGAATAAAGGGGCTCATGTCTATTGAAGATGATGCTGCCCCCACACAGAGGTAATCATCATTAATTATCAATATTCGGTATTTGGAATTATACCCAGATGCCCCATTTCCTTTGACTATTGGGTTTAAAAAAAAAACGCAGTGACTTCATAGAAAACTGGGTGAAGATATGTGCACCGGCGAAGAACAAGATTAAGCAAGAACTGAAGGATTTTCATGTCTATTGAAGATGATGCTGCCCCCACACAGAGGTAATCATCATTAATTATCAATATTCGGTATTTGGAATTATACCCAGATGCCCCATTTCCTTTGACTATTGGGTTTAAAAAAAAAACGCAGTGACTTCATAGAAAACTGGGTGAAGATATGTGCACCGGCGAAGAACAAGATTAAGCAAGAACTGAAGGATTTAAGCTTCGACGACCAATGCACCAACTGTGAGAAGGTAATATAAAGGGGACGGACACTCTT